CTTACCTGAGGGAGTTGCTCTCCCTTGCTGTCCAGGGCCTGTACTCCCAGCCATGTACATGTGAGTATGCACACATGTATGTGATGCCCCCTGTGTCCTGCTCCCCCCAGCCTCTTGTAAGCTGGAACTCTGCCAGCCTGCAAGGGGAAACCTGTAGTTTTCCATTTTTTTTCCTTTAAAGGAGAAAATCTGCATTTTTCTGCAGCAGACAGAAAATCTGGATCCCTGGTAGTCAGCATCTCCAATCTTTTTTTTCCTTACCATAGCAAAATAGCTCAGTAATTTACCCTCCACCCCACAATTGATTGTTGGAAAGTAATAGCCCTTGGCTGTACACGCTCTTTGATCAGGTACAGCTGTTATCTACATACCCAAGATGTTAAATGCAGGATATGCTTTTAAAATGTGACCCTGAAAGATACAAAATTTTACCCTGAAGAGTGTGCTAACAAGGCATTTGCTTAATTCCTTACTGGCTTCAGGTAAGGTTCAGAAAAATATATATATAATGTGTGGTCAAACGAGGCTGTTTTAAGTTTTCTTGTTTAACAGAATCTCAAAAAAAAAAATAAAAATTTCCAACTGCTTATTGCACATTCTTACAATGCATCTAGTTGACCTCTGTAGCATCTGTCACCTTACTGGCTGCAATGGTAGCAACTACAGTTAAATGGTATCTAACTTTGGTAATGCAAAAAAGGAAAAAAAACAAGGTGATTCCACTTCTAGCTCTTGGCAGCAGTGTCTGAAATCTCACAATTAAGTATCTTTGTTTGTTCAGAGTTTTAGAAGCAGTATGGGAGTAGTGTTGTTCAAGTGCAAATTAAGCTTCTCGTGTTAGTGCTACAGTAATTTTCAGAAATTAATTTGACCTTACCTCTGTTTCAAGATCTGATTTTACACGTACAGTGCATCTTCTGAGAGCTGATTGAAATGTAAAGCTGATTACTCCTTTGACTTTTAACAGTGCTTCCTCATATAGATTTTTGGTATGCTAGATTAAAAGGAGTCAAAGGATGAGTGAAAACACACCAGTTGGAATGTAACTATTAACTCAATGTCAAACCAACATTGAAAGTAGTAGGACCAAGCCTATTTAATTTACATGCTTTCAAGTGTGATTGTGTACACTAATCCTAAAATAGGTTAATACTAGCCCAGTGGGCTGCTTAGGTATTTGGTATCATTTATTGTACTATAGTAGTGACTACAGGACCTAATTGAAACTGGATTATATGGGGCTTCTGAAACCTGGATTGGAAAAAGGAAGTATTAGTCTAGTTCTAATGAAATGGAAGCACAAAGTAGTTTGCCCAAAGTTGTAAAGAAAATCTGATAAAAAAATGGAAATGAAAGCCCAGTCTCCTGAATTCCATCCCACTGCCATAATATCCTTCCTCTAAGGATTAGGTAACAGACTCTTTC